ATGGAGCCAGAGGAGATGACGGCGGCGGATCGACACACTGAAGTGTACTGGGGGCCCGATGAGTGGAAAACCTTCCCAGATTGTCGGGTGGCCGTAACAGAGCTGTACGAGGAAATTCGCGCTGGGGTCCTTCGTGATATGCCTGATTTGGAGTAGTTCGGTCACATTACCATGTTTGCTACTTGTGTGTGTGTGCAATGTCTGTAAAATATACTATGTGCTTGTTATTCTGTGAGTGAAGGACTTGTGTTAACAAGATAGACCGCGACGCGACACGTCCCGTGACCGCGATACCGCCCGTGACCGCGATACCGCCCGTGACCGCGACAATCGTATTGAGAAGGAGTGAAGCCCATGACCGCGACGCGATACGTCCCGTGACCGCGACAGTGCCCGTGACCGCGACAGGATCACGATAAGAAGAAGTTTGCTTGCTGGGGCATGACCGCGACGTGACGCGACACGTCCCGTGACCGCGATACCGCCCGTGACCGCGACAGGATCGTGTGCCGTCTAGATAAGAAGAAGTTTGCTTGCTGGGGCATGACCGCAACGCGACGCGAGATGTCCCGTGACCGCGATACCGCCCGTGACCCCGACAGGATCGTGTGCCGTCTAGTCCCGTGACCGTGATACGGGCCGTGACCGCACCACGATTGTGGGCCTTCTGAATGGCTGTCCTGTGTATGAGTAGTTTAGGTCTGCAGATTATGTTGGAAAAAGGAATTAAGCCAACCATAAGCAGACAGTCTTATCTGTTCATAGATGTATTGTCTTACCTAGACAGCTTGTGACCGTGACGCGACGCGACGCGACGTGGAGGGAGCCACTGTCCCAGCCAGGAGGAAGAGGATTGTTCCACAAGCCTGAGGAGAAGCTGGGTGGATAGAACCCCAGGGTGTGCCTGTCCAGAGTGGAGAATGCCATGTCTGGGGGGAGGGCACCTGTGGAGAATGCCATGGGGTGTGGATGAAGTCAAGGGAAGGGAGGCATAATCCATAGCTTGGCCTTCCTCCCTGTGGTACTATCCATTACCCTTCCCTCAGCTGAGTGGGACTATCCATCATGCCACTGGGGATGCTTCCACCAGCTCTGCTGGCTCCACCATGGAATCCTCCACCAGTTCTTCACCAGGGGTGGTGGAGCTGTCCACCAGCCCTCCTCCCAGCACAGAGGAGCCTTCCACCAGTCAACAATGATCACATGAGTGTTCAATTTCCTATTGTGGAACCTGCGGGGGACGATGATATGCCCCTGATCAGTATCTACAACAAAGCTTTCTGCTCTATCTGGTCTTGTCTCTGTTCGGCCTTTGGCATCAATTTGATAGTCCTTGGTTCAATTCTCCATCTTTGCACTTTTTCTCTTTTTACTTCTTGTTGCATGTCTTAGTTCTGTTCATGCCCCATCCTTCAAAAGAACCCAGTCTTATGGTCAGAAATTAATAATATAGTTAAAATGGAGTCATAGGTGAGATTTCAGTCAAGAATATCAAGGGATTATTTATTCATAGGCAAGACCCCAAGCAAGTGCATTAGTAATAATTTCCAGAGAAAATTTAATTTTCTGAGCTAGCAAATAAGCTGATACCAGGGCTGTCATCTCTATGGATCATGTATTGATAGGCAAGGCTCCCAGCCAGCCTACTAGTAGGGAAGATTCAATTTTCTAAAGGGGCAATTCATTTAATAAGGCTATCATCAGGCTCTCATTCTGCAAGCTACAGTACAGTGAACATGGTCAGGTCCATTGCCCTGGGTAGCCACTATACCATACAAGGTCCAACACCTACCTAGACTGGCTCAGCTGCACTACACAGGCAATAGTGTAGGCAATACTAAGATCCAAAATAGTCAGTTATGGTGGTAACCTCCACAGTAATGTGACGTGACAGGTGGGGAAGCCTCCACATCCGGTGGTAGGATCCCGGCCAGTGGAAGGGCTCCACTTTCTAGGGGATCATAGGTGGAGGGTTTGCCAAGGTACATTAACCTTATTAGGTTTGGGTCAGGGGTAGACTGAGGTGGTTTCCGTACTCGACCACTCAGTGCGTGCGCCTTCTGTCGTCCATGTTCATTACACCATATAGCCTCCTCAACAGTGTGGGCTTCATGCAGCCCCGTACTCCAGTACTCGAAAGGTAGGTAAAGTTCCGAGTTATCGCTTGTTCCGCCTGATATTTACATATCTAATACAGCGAAATGGCGAATCTACCTCGAGGCGTCTCTGCTCCTTCGAAAGAGCAACTAGAAACGCTGCAGGCCTTGGGTAAATTTGTGTTGAGTGAGGTTCAGAAACAACAACTCTTGGTTTTGCAACTGAACGCGCCGCTGCTAACCCCACCCACGGATGAAGATTCTCGTCAATGGGAACAAAAGGCGAATGACATCGGACCTCCCCAGGTCTCGGTACATAAAAGAGAGTCCATTATTGCTTGGAGCGATGCCGTGGACGCTTTTCATCCATTGGAGCGAACTCCGGGGCCTCGTCGTTTCCGTCCAGTCTTCCTTGACACGCGGCAATGGGTAACGCGGGATCCTCGATCCATGAGAAGGGACTGTGATGCAGCATGGCAGAAACAAGTGTATGAACGATTGTACAAATGCGACAACGTGGACCCAATGTAACACGTAACACCCAAGCTGTTTCGAATTGAACTTCTTTGCCCCAATGACAAGTGAAAGAAGGGTTGGTTGCTATTGAGATGTTGAGTTGCCGTCTTTGAATACATCTGACAGAGCTGACAATCACGCCAAAATGTGTGACTTGTCCATCTCTTATCTTCTCGACCACAACATGGGCTAATCCAAGATGCCCCCTCCTCACCCCCCGTCTCCTCTGCCCCCTTCCTCGGAGCCCGAGTACAGCAGTAGCGATGACGAACCTTGGGGTTCGTCCCGTCTCCTCTCTTGTGAGACCCATTGACTCATCGGCAAGCGTAGGTCACTCGTTGTCGTCCATTGACCGCATGGACGACGACAATATTGCAACAGAACCGCTCGATCTCTCTTCCAGTGATGATGACCGTCGCACTTCTCGTCAGTGCTCCAATTCATTTTTGCCGCATAAGCTAACAAATGAAAGCGCTTTTGCTTTCGCATAACGACTCTGCTGGAACTGCTGGAAGTCGCGACAACCCGTTGACCGACCGGCAGCTGCCCTCCACCCCCGCGGTTAAAAAGGCGCTGAGCAAGAGGCCCCGCACTCCAGAGTCACCCTCCCGTGGGTCGTTATTCGCCAATATCAATATCTTTTAGAGCCTGACCGCCAACGACAGCGTCAAACGAACGACCTGGTCGTTCCTTCATCGAAAAACTTGCGGCTCCACCGCCCACTCTTTTCCGCGCCAACTCGCAGCGCCCAGGAGTCCAACGTATGTCTTCTCTCGGGGAAGCCATCGCCAAACCTGACCATCTTGCACAGAAAAAGCTCTCAAAGCCGTGTTGCGGGTCGATACTTCACCCGCCGTCTTTGCTCGAATGGCAAACGCCGCATTTCAAGCCGTCATCAACGCGGATGCACCAATCTTGCACGACAACACGGCTTCCCAGGACGACGCTCGCACAGCGTACTTGCGCGACTGCTACATCAAGGCTGCACTTGACTGTTTGGAAAATAACGACGGCGATGCCCCATACGTTGTGATCGTCCAGCACCTCGACCTTTATCTGGACGAAAATACGACTCCTCCATTGTGTGATGCGGTACTAGAGCCAAATCATCTCTGCGGCCTCTGCAAACGGCTGAAATCTCATCCGGTTCTGTACGTGATATACCGACTACTTCAACGATCTAACATTTCCCCTAGTTTCATGTGTAGTCATAGTTTCTGCTTTGTTTGCGCCCGAATCCATCTCAACAAGTCATGGAACTGCCCCACTGCTGGCTGTGGTGCAGTGCAGCATCGTCCGCCGCTGCCCTTGTCGTTCTTGAGACGAGAGATCAGTGCGTTATATGTTGGTTTTCATGATTTCACTCGAGTCAACATCGAGTGGTCCAATATTCGTTTCCCCCGTGCCAGATCGACGCAGGACACTACATAGATTTGTTGTCGAATAGTTTTTTAACAATTCTGCCTGTCCTGCCCGCGACCCCTGAAGCGCAGATCAGACCACCTGAGTTTAGAGTTTGCATGTGAAGATGATCTGCGGACCGCTCCGACCGCTCCAAATCTAGGCTTTGAATTTCATCTCAATCCACATGCTACCTCATGCTACGGACCAAATCAAAATCAAGACTAGAAAATGCGTGTCCCAGCTTGAGAGCTGTGTCTAGACAAAATGCCCACAAGGCTCATTCTCCCTGCTGAGCACCATGTTGAAGCAGGACGCGACGAATCCTCAGGTAAGGCTCAACCTCTATTATACATGTTTAATCTCACCGGCAATTCTTAGGCAATGAAGGCTATGGTCTCCTTCGACTCTTGATGCCGTCCATCCCACGTCACATTTCCACCAAGTTGCCCCGCCGCCCACAACACGATCTGCTTCTGGGTGAACGCTTCACCTTTCCCCCACTGCTGCTGGCACATCCGCCGTTCACGGTTATCACTTATGATGTCACCTGTAATTGGGTTTGCTGTTGTCGGGTTCGGGGCTCAATGACTTACGTTGGGTCATATCTCCCCGAGATCTTGATGGGAGGGTCATGTGGAGAGGAGGTCGAAACAGCTTGGGCCAAGACCAGGTACGAATTTCACTCGCAATTGGTCCCCTGACATATTCATTCCTAGCGCTCGTAATGAGGTCAGAGGCCAGAATACGGCTGTAAAGGCACCCACCTTCAAAGCCAAGCTCTAAATCTCGGTAGCACTCCTTGTTCTTCCAGTTCTGTTTAGGGTAGAATATGGATGTGCGCAAAAATGATCCAAATTTGGATGTGATCTTGATGTGTGACATACGGGTCACATCAATTTGTCAACGTGCTTTGTCGCCATGCGAGGACTTGAAGGGGTCGTTTTGGAGGGTGAGTGCTTGTGCGGATCTTGCCCTTTTCGCTCAATGTCTCGCCAGCGCAAAGGAAGAACGAAATTCCATGTCGGCGGTCTTCAACCTAGTCAACTGCAAGGCGACACCAGCATGCACTTCCTCACCAGCGGTCGTAACGCCCAGTCGAGGATTCACAATGTCGCACCAACAGCAGCACTCTCTACTCGCGTGTCCGAAGAAGATCTAGCGGAGTGGATGCCTTTCCTGGACCTGGCGGATGACGAGCTGGTTGCAATTGCGCAGACAATCTCCTCAGAGCCTCAGCCATTGGGAGACGACGAGCTGTCTGGCAAACGAAAGCGCACTACAACGGCATCTGTGCGTATATTCTTCCGCTCTGACTTGATGACACTGACTGAATAACCAGGATGACCCCATGGCTCTCTGGCGCCAGATGATTCCCGCATATCTCGGTGAATTGTTGCGGGGGGAAGCCTTGGGGAAAGACCATACTCGACCTTCATGTGCCGCTTGTGGGGAAAGACTTTGCGAAACCCCAGAATCCCGCGCATTCCGCTGTGCCGATTGCAGCCCCTTCGTGCAATGCGAAGACTGTTTGCGTCAACGACATGAGCAGCTGCCCCTTCTCATCGCCCACAGGTGGGCGAGTTCTACTCAACGCTAATTGACATAGATTTAGTTTTTCAGGTTTGGACGGGATTCTGGCGCAGATGCGCGCTTTTTCGGCCTTCAGCGGGCGAAGCGAATCCAGGTCTTGGAATGGTGTATCAACTTGGCCACCATGGATTTGCATGCTCGCATCCTGACTGGCGAGTGCGAGCGCTGGTGGTCATTGATGTTGGAGGTGTTTTCAAGGTTGACGTCAGGTATGCTTTTTGTTTTCTCGTTTCGTAACTCGTGCTGAATATTCGCGAGATTTTGCGCTTGTAGCTCTAGTCTCCGGCACCGGCACACATTCCTCTCTCAACTTCTCGACAACGCCTGGTATCCAGCGACGACAATGGAGCCCTCGACATGTGCAACCTTTCGCGTTTTAGACCTCTTCCGAATGCTGAAGGTCGTCGGGAACATGAATGCTCACGACTTTGTGGGCTCGTTGGAGCGGGCTGACCAACGCGACTTTCACCGAGCAAGTTCCCGTAAGAACCTGATGTCTGTCGTCGTGGTTATTACTCACACACAGTAGGACCGCTACAAGGCGTTTGGGCGAATGAGCCGGCAATATGACTTTCTACTTCGGGCCAAGCGAGCCGGCCGGGGGCATGTGCAGGATGGGCTAGCGGAGACGCCACCCGGGGGTCTGGCTGTTTGCTGTTGGGCGTGTCCCGATCCTAAGCGAAACCTACCGGAGGGATGGGAAACAGTGGACAGCTCTAAATCGTACGTTGTTCATTACTTAGCACTTGTCATTGACTCTAATGCACTACAGATATATATACTCCTTAATGCTGGCCCTCGACGCCAACTTCCGACTGAAGAATCGAATTCGCGGGAATGAAAGACACGATCCCTCTTTGGGAAGTGGTCTTGGTTATTTCGTCGAGCTCAACGAATACAAGGAGCATCTCCGACATTATGTGGCGGAGGAAGATGTACGTTATTTCTTTCATTTTGGTCTTATGTTGACGGGACCTAAACGACGATAGGTTAGCACCTGTATCGCTTTCGCAGCCCTGATGCAAAAAGAAACAAGGCTTACGACGGGCTTACGGGTGTCAGGCGTCGGTGGGTGTGTTTGCGCTCGACACGGAGTCGTTCGACCACAGGGATTAGGGGACTTGCAGAAGGGAGAGCGGTAGGTTTTCCTTTTCTGCTGCTTTGTGGCTTTTAACTCAAAAGCTATCTGTAGCTATGCGAATATGGACTGGGTCTTCCTCAAAGCTGTTGGTGGTGTCGAGTTGAAACGCCTTGTCGTGTCCTACGACATCGCATGCCAATGGAAACAGCACATTCGAGAGCGAGCAAAAAAGCTGGGTGACAAAGAGGAGACCATCGTAACCAAGCTCGACGACTACACGCTGCAATTCGCCCTGCCCGTCTGGCACGCTGTTGCGCATGAAACCAGCTGTCAAGCCGCAAACTCGTTAACACACGCGGTTGGCGTTGGGCGAACAGATGGCGAGGGGATTGAACGAACATGGGCGATCTTGAACCCCATTGCCTTCTCCACGAAGGAGATGGGGGAGGGGAACCGACATGACACCATCGAGGATAAGGTCGATCATGTGAATTTCGAGAAGAATGTCAGGCAAGGTGGGAAACAATTTTTGTGGGGAAGTCTTTTGGTTACTAATAGCAAAACAGGCGATACATTGGCCAGAAAGATGATCATTGCTCTGGCGCAGCGCGATACACAAATTGGAGAGTTCGCGGAGGTCGACGACAGCCTTGACCCGGTTTTGCGAGCGGATTGGCAACGTCGAATCGATGCTTGGAATGCGGACAACACGCGCCCAAACCCTTACCTTTCTGAGGCAAGACATGGTCCGTATCTTCATTTTGGTCAAAGCCCGTGCTAATAATCGCATAGCGGGGCCTTCAGAAGCCCAAATTCTTGCTGATTTGAAGAAGGCAGAGTTGGAGCAACTCCGTAGTGGATGAGGAAACCAGTTGACTGCGGGCAGAACAACAGCTGCTGCGTTCATCAAAGGCGCACTGCAACTGGAGGACCAGCAGTATGTCTTTACTCGCTTGTCGGTCGAAGCAAAATACTGATGCGTGCTAGGCGGCGCATCCGCTTTGAGGCGAGCGGGACGACTACGTTGACTGCCGAACGATCCAGTCAGCTGGACGAACTGCGGGTCTCTGTCCTCAAGAAGCTGCGCACATTGCAGACACACCAGCTCGTTTTTATGCCTGGCATCGAAGGGTTACGACTGGCAGAGGAGGAGAATCGGAATCCAGACATCGCTCCCCCTGCTGCTGAGGTTTCGAAACTGTGGCTTCCAAGCGACTTGTCTGCGGAGGAGCGGGAGGCCATCTGCCGTCCAGATTTGGTGGAGACAGAGGCCCAGTTGCGGCTAGGCCAATGTAGTGATTCATTGGGCAAGATACGGGGGCATCTGCATGCGAAGACTCACCTTATCGACACTCGTAATGCGAATGCTGTTGGGCAGAGCTTGAGTACGAGATTTGGGACGTTAATCGGGCGGGTGGGAGATCAAGCAAGACGGCAAGCGGTGAAATACCGAGAGGTGCGAGCTGCGTTGGTACGGTTGAAGGGTCCAGACTTCGCGCCCCAGTTCCACGACCTTCAAGACGATGATTTGCGGGTGCACGTGGAATCAGCGAGCGATGCGCAGGCTCGCGCAGCGTTGGGCAAGCTGGGCTCATCGCGGCGCGCTCGCAATGAACCTTCGGTAACAAAGAAGATGCTACCTGTATCATGGATATGGTTCACTGGTGGGGAAGCCGATGACGACGAATTGCACGATTGTGGGTAGTATTCTTTTGTTATTCTAAAAAAGCTAGCTGACGATATTCTTGCAGCTGTCCGTGTCCAGTGGACCAAATGTCGTGCTCGAAGGGACAGATGGATTGAAGAAGTGAATCTGTTACGGGAGGAGATGCGTCGCGTGGTTAAGAGTGTCGAGGTTGTTCAGGAAGAGTGGCGGGATCGAGAGCAGGGACGGGTGGGAGGGGATAGCCAGTTAACGGCAGGACTGATCGCATACGCTAAGCGACAGGCGTTCGTTTATGGAGAAGTCGAAAAGGCCTTTCGAGCAAGCTGGAGCTCTTCGGGTGTGGCTGCAATCCGTGCAGTGGCGCTCAGTGTGGCCCCTCCGGCTCCGACTGCTCCGACTGCTCCGATTACGCCGATTACGCCGACTCCGAGTTTGTCGGCCAATGTCCCGACAACCGGAAGTTAGCATCAGTAGTAGTGCTGTATTTGGACATAAGTAGATCACTTGGAAATGATGTCGATGATGGAATCATTGTGTCTGATGGCTGCTATAGGCCACTGAAGGGGCAGGCTTTGTTTAGGCTCGGAAGTGGGGGGGCATTTGACAAATGTGCTGAAAGGGTTCAGCCTGGCAGGAGTCAACGTTTTTGACACCGGGTTCGCTGGCCACATTGAGTGCAGTTATCAAATATCCCCAACCACAGGTGACGCTGCCGAGAAGCCCCGAACCACTGAGGAGAGCGTACCCGCGCACTATCTTGAGGAATTCAAGGAGGTCTTCGAAAAACAGGACTTCGACAAACTCCCGGAACGGAGGAAATGGGACCATGCCATTAAACTACACCCAGACGCCGAACCCGTCAAAGGGCGCTGCATTCCCCTATCAGGAGAGGAACAGAAAGAGCTTGACGCATTCATCAAGGAACACTTGGCAACCGGGCTGTCAGCGTCGGGCTCGGGCCGTATCGGGGCGTCGGGGGGTCCGACTTTGAAGGGATCTGAGGAGCACGAGAGATGGGTATTCGCCCGGAGAATAGACGATATTAGCCTAGCGACTACATCTTGTAAGTACGACTTTTATACGCTACGGTATTAGGGATGGATCGGATGGGCGCCAGGTCCCAGGGCGGATCGGATGGGCGCTGCGTAGGGCCGTAGGGGTGAACAGAAGGGGTTGGAAGAATGAGGGGGCGTCCAGGAGGACGGCGGTATACGGGCCCGTGCGGGCCCGTTCGGGCCCATGCGGCCTTATGGCCCGGACGGCCCGACCCGAACCGTGACACGGGCGGATTCGGCCCTCGAAATCCCCATACGCATCCCCGTTCTTCTTCGTCAAGAAGAAGGACGGGAAATTACTGTGACGCTGTCGTTCGAGGAGCTTACGCTGGGCGGAAGCGAGGAGGAGATGTATCGATAAGGGGGTCGGACAGCCATTGGAATCCAATGGCTGCCCGACGGACGACCCGTAACCTACGGCGGGAGGGAGCAGTGAGGCGTACTCAGGCGGTCGGGACGGGTCCACGAGAAGGTAGGAAGGAGATGCACAAGAGGAAGAAGGACTTGGTTAAGTTGCTGCTGCGTGACTGTAGCCACGTGTACGTTACATGACTAGTGACTAATGTGACTATTTGAGATCAAATGATTATCCGTATCTGATAGAGCGATTCTGAGTCGTCAGCTGGAGATATACCCGTCACAGAGCCCCCCACGACGAAGAGTCGTTCACCTGTTAATACCACCCTGCCCTTGCCCGAGCACCGACGCTGCCCACGGAGCCGAGGCTGCTATGCCCTCCAATGTCGTTCGGGATTCTGTGTCGTCCCACCTCCATTGCCGCACCTTCATCAGGTATGTCCTCGGTTTCCCCGCTCCCGGTAGACGCTTCCGTACTGGCGACGGCAGTACTGTACGTGGCGTTAAACCACGGATGGGAAGACAGTTGGGTTACGACCCCGTTCACTATAATCTGATTCGCGGGGAACGTTATCGGCACCGGCGGGAGCGCGGGCACTCCTGGGTTTGCTACCTGAGGAGCGTGTGAGAGGTCCTGGCTAGGCTCTCCTATACTGTCTAGAAAGGCGGTAACCTCTTCGGAGCTGGGTTCGAGCGGCGCCATCGTCAGAGGAGAAGCGAGGTTCAACGGAATCCGCTGTGAATCCTCTACATTCTCATGATTCAACGTCGTCAGAGTATGGACTCCCAGCATGAAGGAGGTCTGCTCCGTAGGGAATGTAGGCTGTTCGTCCTCGGCAGTAGCAGGCGGAGCTGTCGGTAACGTGGGCGTGATGACGTTCAAAGAGATTTCGTAGGACCCTAGCGCAAAAGGGCCCAAGTTGGCGGCCCGCCCGAGCCTAATTTCTCGCTCTATGCGGCGTCTCTCGTCTCTTCGCAGCTTGCTAGGGTTATGCTTAGACCTCTTGCGGATCCGTTCCTCCAAGCTTACTCCCAACCTCGCTGCCAGCGACGTTTCAGGAACCACGGTGTTATCGACATCCATAGGCGTCATGGTTGAGTCCTCCGGCGGGGGGCGCTGTATATCCTCCCGATGAACCAACCGCCGATTCCGACTGAGGGATTGGCTGAACTACAGGGCCGGACTCCTGCCCTGAGTTCATGGTTGAAGAGGGCTCCGAAGGGGCCGCGAGCGGTAAGGAAGGGACGGCTCCCGGATCTTCGTTCAAGGCTTCCGACGTGACTGGAGTACTTGCGGGGTTATTGGTGAAGGAAGTCGGAGCACGGACTGGTGATGTTAGGGTAGCCCTTCTATCCGCCTCGCGGCGTAGTCTGCGTTCTCTAACCAGGCGGGATTCCAGCCGGTTATACGTGTCCGTGACTTGACCGGCTAAAGCATCGAATTGGGCTCGATCCACGTAGTTGATAGAGACCCATTGCATCTCTCTTTCCAGGAACCCCAGGGCTTTCCTAGCATCGGTCACCGATCCCATTTCGAGAACCACGCTGTTGCCTGCTAGCAGAACCAGTACGATATCCGCTATGTTCCTTACGCGTTGGATTTCCTTCATGTTGTAGAATTCTTCGGCCGATAGAGCGTCACTGCCTCTGACTTCCAGACGGAAAGTCGCTGGCTCGGGTTCGGGAATGTCCGCATCCATTAAATCTCCGTAGTCGGATTCCTCCTCCCAGCTCATGGTATCGGCGGCTACTGAAGGTTTCCTATTCCCTCCGTCCTTGGGGGGGCCGTCGTCTTGGTCATCGTCCACGTCGTCGTCTTCTGCGCCAGGCTCCTTTCGCGCGTCTGTATCAGGCTTCGAGCTACTCTTCCTTGGTAGGTAGTCAGGTCGGGGGTTAGGAGCCATGAGCGGTAGACTAGCTTGTATCTTCGTGAACGAGGCTGAAGGGAACATCCAGTACGAGGGACGGGTTGGCATCCAATTACCGTGCTTGTCTTGTACAACGTAGTCGCACCTAGGAGCGGGCATCCCGTAAAGGTCAGGGCGCACGACGCCCGGGGGAATCTTGTAGCCCAGGACGATAAGAGTCCGTCTATGGTCACGATCGAAGAAGGTGCTATTCGGCCCGCCCGTCCGTTCGAGAACCACGGCCTACTAATTCCATCCTTTTTCTCTCGCCTTCGCCGATACCCATGACAAACTTTTGTAAACTGCCAAAACCCTTTTGTAGATTGATAAGCTCGGGCGGTCGAATCCATGGCAAGCGGTCCGGGTAAAGATCCACAAAGTCCAGATCGGGTTGCTTGTAATGGTCCCTCAACGGATTGCCCGTAACAGCCGGTCTCCGGCCGTTGCTCGGTGTATGTGCGTTGATTAACTTGTAGCGATCTATGACATCCCGATCTTTTCGATTCGTGGGTGAAGGCGACCTTCGGATCGGTTCATGATCTTTCGGCAAGTTCCAGTCTTCGATAGAAGGTATCGGGTCGTTCCAAGATGAGGCGTTCTCCGGCCAAGAAGACCCCCAGCCTCCGGTATCCGTTGGCGGGGGAGTCGGCCCAGAACTCGGGTAAGAAGAGGTCCAGTTCATCGTAGGGTTGTCCGGCCAGTCACTCTTAGGTCTACGTTGACTCCAGAAAGGTCGTTGGCCTTCTTCCATGAAAAGAGGGTTAGCTCGTTCTTCACTGATGGGGTCAGGAGCAGGGGCACGTCCCGACTTGAGTCGAGAAGGGATATTGAGTCGCGCCAAACTAACTCCATCTCGCGGGATTTCAGAGTACGGATTATTCTTCAGCATAGCTAGGGTTTCAGTATCGTCCAAGAATCCCGAGGGACCTGTCGTATTCCGCAACTTGGCTGCTTCGTCTTCCGGGATCCGGTAGACTACGAAGCAAGGGATGCCGGCACGAATTAAGCGGTCCAAAGGTTCTCGCGGGTACCCATTTGCCCAGAAACCCATGAATTCGTCGCGAGGATCCACAGCGTCTCGATCGGGACCGCGGGCTAAGTCTTCCATGAGAACGTCCATCATATCCGCCCATGCCAGCAATTCTCTGAGAGCGAATGATAGCTCCGAGTACTTGTCAAAGATGGCGTCCCACGGCTGCGGCGTATTCAGAGCTCTCTTCAGAGACCAAAAGGGGGTGACGTCCGGAGGCGCAATTTACAGATCAGCAGGCCAGTTCTTTGCGAAAGGAAGGCGGGCTGAACAGGAGTTGATACGCCCCACTATGTAGTTGTAGCATTCGATCAGTCCATCTAAACCCTTGTCGGTTATCGTGCCGGTGTCCGAGGACATGGGTCTCCAGACTTCTGTCAATGGGCGAAAAGCGGGGGACCATCTATCTTCTCTCTTCACGGAGGTAGGATTGCGGAAGAAAGCGAAGATCGGCGACGAGCGAGTGTATAGATACTGAGGTCCGGATCGGGGGTCGAATCTGCCCCACGTAGAGTCATACCGTCGCGCATTGGCATCCAATGGCGGAGTAAGATCTCCTGGCGGAGGGATGCCTGGAAGAAAGACCGATTGTAAGGGCAACCCCGGAGGCCTGAGATCAAGGTCCTAGCAGGGGAGGATCCAAAGAGTGAATAGAAGTAAGCAAATACAAGTGAGGCTGACCTAGCAGGGGAGGATCCAAAGAGAAGAAACTCTAAGGGTCCGCCTGCTAGGTAGCGGAACTATATACTGCGCTCTTGACGCGCCAAGGTTGATCGTTGCTCCGTGCAGTATGCCTGCGCCATGTCGCAGGCCAGGTCCCAGGGGGATCGCCAGGCGGGGGGCGGCGATGCGCCTGACGGAGGCGGTGATGCGATCGCCGGAGTCGGAACCGAGTCGGACCGGAATCGGAATCGTCTCCGAGGGGCCGAAAGGGAGGTTCCCCTGACATCACCCCCCTTTGAATGCGGCGTCCCGACGCATAGACCGGAATGGAATCGAGTCGAAGGTTGCAGAGGCGATGTGCCGTGGTTTGCCAGGGTACTTACGATAGAACTCCGCGATTTTCTCCGGGCGAAGACGCGGTCGAAGCGGACCCACTGGTCGTGCGACGCGTCG